TGAGCAGATAATCAATGTCAGGGACTTCACACATATCAGGTCACAATAACGGGAAGAAAATTATATTTGGCCTTTTTAAACTTTCATCATTAGTCAATGTTCCAACAACACTGCAGTAACGGTTGCTCCGTTCAGTGCTAGTGGAAATCACACAAAATGGCCCTCACTGTTCCATTTGAAAACTAGTAAAAAACAGGTCAGTCCAGGCAAAATCTTGAAGCTTGCACATGCAAGCTCTCTCAACTGCACTGGGTAATGGAAGATGTGATACAGATGATATTTAACGATTCACATTACAAATTTGCCTTCAATGATTGAAGATTGTTCTCTCTGTTATTCTTTGTCTAGTTTCTTATGAATCCTACAAGTTGTTACAGTTTATTACAGATGTTACTGTTTATTACAGATGTTACAGTTTATTACAGTTGTTATACCTCTCACTGCTTGCAAACCCCAGGTACACAAGACTGATCACAAGATGTGTTGTCAATTACTAGTCTCTGGACTCTTGATTCCCACACAATGAGTATAGGACAAACTCAACAGTATCCTCAGCAACACACAGTACTGGTCTCAAGTGTACTCATGGCACAAACATCTAAAATATAAGTAGTGGTCTCATATGTACTCTTGGCACAAACATCTACAATATAAGTAGTGGTCTCATATGTACTCTTGGCACAAACATCTACAATATAAGTAGTGGTCTCATATGTACTCTTGGCACAAACACCTACAATATAAGTAGTGGTCTCCAGTGTACTCATGGCACAAACATCTACAATATAAGTAGTGGTCTCCAGTGTACTCATGGCACAAACATCTACAATATAAGTAGTGGTCTCATATGTACTCTTGGCACATACATCTACAATATAAGTAGTGGTCTCATATGTACTCTTGGCACAAACATCTACAATATAAGTAGTGGTCTCATATGTACTCTTGGCACAAACACCTACAATATAAGTAGTGGTCTCCAGTGTACTCATGGCACAAACATCTACAATATAAGTAGTGGTCTCATATGTACTCTTGGCACAAACACCTACAATATAAGTAGTGGTCTCATATGTACTCTTGGCACAAACATCTACAATATAAGTAGTGGTCTCATATGTACTCTTGGCACAAACATCTACAATATAAGTAGTGGTCTCATATGTACTCTTGGCACAAACACCTACAATATAAGTAGTGGTCTCCAGTGTACTCATGGCACAAACATCTACAATATAAGTAGTGGTCTCATGTGTACTCATGGCACAAACATCTACAATATAAGTAGTGGTCTCCAGTGTACTCATGGCACAAACATCTACAATATAAGTAGTGGTCTCCAGTGTACTCATGGCACAAACATCTACAATATAAGTAGTGGTCTCATGTGTACTCATGGCACAAACATCTAAAATATAAGCAGTGGTCTCATGTGTACTCATGGCACATACACCTACAATATAAGTAGTGGTCTCATGTGTACTCATGGCACAAACATCTACAATATAAGTAGTGGTCTCATGTGTACTCATGGCACAAACATCTACAATATAAGTAGTGGTCTCATGTGTACTCATGGCACAAACATCTACAATATAAGTAGTGGTCTCATGTGTACTCATGGCACAAACATCTACAATATAAGTAGTGGTCTCATGTGTACTCATGGCACAAACATCTACAATATAAGTAGTGGTCTCATGTGTACTCATGGCACAAACATCTACAATATAAGTAGTGGTGTCTCATGTGTACTCATGCCACAAACATCTACAATATAAGTAGTGGTCTCATGTTTACTTATTGTAACAGAGAGACATCATTACTTTTTTGTGGGAAGTAGGTTATTACGCAGAGTTATGATGTACTGAAAATCAACAAGTTTTGGCAGCCTTGACATTCTTTTTTTCCAGAATCTTCTTTGCCCGCCAAAACTAGCTGTTGACATCAAATTGATGTTGTCTGGCCTTGGCCTTCTTCCTAGAAGTTTAAAATGTGTTTTTTCATCATGTGACCCAACCTTGTCTAACTAGTAAATACCTTGTTGACGTGATCTATCAAATCAAACGCAATTGTCCTTGTTTTTTAGAAGCTTCTATGACCTCAATTGTCAGTTTAACTACTATATCTGCGTAGAATAGGATGATGAAATCCGATGCACTTTAGATTTTTTTAGAAAATCCCACGTGAGAACATACCTAGTAAACAAGTGGAGACGTACTAGAATATTCTAGAAGCCGAAGAAAACAAATACCTAGCATTCCAGCATCCAAGTATAAATAACGAGTAACAAAGCACCCCAGAGGAATTCTTCAGTCCACAAGACTCAAGAGAGAAGGGACCAGTCATGGACCCTCACGACAGCCTTCAGTGGTAGAGATGTAAGCTCAATACTAGAAGCCTTCAGTCGTTGAGACTCAGAGGACGAGCGACTAGTCTCAATGATCCTTGATGCCAGCTCAACACTGGAAGGAGAGCAGCCGTTCATATGGAACCTCGAAGACCGTCACTAGAGAGCAGACATTAAACAAGACATCGAGCCACAGAGACAACACACAAGATACCTGGATCCATGGTTAACAGAGACACATTAAGAACACTTTAGAGATGTTAAAGTCAACGATCAAGCCGTTAGTACCAAACAGCACTAGAAGCCAGGTGGCAGTTAGAGATACTAGAACCAGTTAACAAAATAACTAGAGATGAAGTACACAACGAGTATTTAGCCATAGAGAGAACACAGTGCTATTCAGAATATCAATGATGTATTTGTGAGATTGTTGAAGTATCACAATAAAGACAGTATAGACAAGAACTGTTGTTTCCAGTCATTTTATTATACAAGCATCAGAGTCACGTGAGAAGCATGCAGCTAGCAAGACATCATCATCATAACCACTATCGACACGACCATCTTTCTCCTCGTCTATAACTTTCCAATCAACTCCTCCTGTAGCAAACCTAAGGACGAACCTGGGTGTGACATCAACGTACGCAACGAATAAGAGAGCTGTGCTACATCATGCTACAAACATCTACAACATAAGTAGTGGTGTCTCATGTGTACTCATGCTACAAACCTTTACAACACATGGTACTGGTCTCATGTGTACTCATGCTACAAATATCTATAACATACAGTACTGGTCTCATGTGTACTCATGCTACAAAATTTTTTCTAACACATGGTACTGGCCTCATGTGTACTCATGCTACAAACATCTATAACATACAGTATTCGCCTCATGTGATGTGTACTCATGCTAAAAACATCTATAACAAACAGTACTGGTCTCAGGGGTACTCATGCTACAGACATCTACAACATAAGTACTGTTTTCACGTGTACTCATGCAACAAAACATTTACAACATAAGTACTGGTCTCATGTGTACTCATGCTACAAACATCTACAACATAAGTACTGGTTTCATGTGTACTTATGCTACAAACATCTACAACATAAGTACTTGTCTCACAAGTACTCATGCTACAAACATCAACAACATACAGCACTGGTCTCATGTGTACTCATGCAACAGACATCTGCAACATAAGTACTGGTCTCATGTGTACTCATGCAACAGACATCTGCAACATAAGTACTGGTCTCATGTGTACTCATGCTACAAACATCTACAATATATGGTTCTGGTCTTGTGTGTACTCATGCTATAAACATCTACAACATACAGCATCTGGTACTAGTCTCATGTGCATTCATATTACAAACATCTTCTATAACACAGTACTGTGCACTCTTGCTACAAACATCTACAACATATGGTACTGGTCTCATGTTACAAACATCTAGACAATAAATACTGGTCTCGTGTGAACTCGTGTTAAAAACATCTACCATAAAGTACTGTGAACTCATGTTACAAACATCTACCATACAGTACTGGGAACTCATGTTACAAACATCTACCATACAGTACTGTGAACTCATGTTACAAACATCTACCATACAGTACTGTGAACTCATGTTACAAACATCTACCATACGGCACTGTGAACTCATGTTACAAACATTTAAACATACAACATTGCTCATGTCCATATTGGGACATTTTTCTCCTCCTATAAAAAGTACATAAACAAGTGTCGCATGTAGATCTCTTCTACTTCTTCTTGTTCACTGGCTGTAAACTTTGGCGGAAAGTTCTGGTTGTTTGTCCACATGTGCACTGTGGTCCTGTTCCAGAATGAGTGTTGTGTGAATACCCATTTTACAGATCTGATTCGTGTCCGCATATTGTTCGTTCCTTGCCTCTGAGGCAGCTGCACCCCGACGTCCAAAGAAGCTCCCAATTGGTCAACTCTTACAAAACGGAATGGGGCCCCAGAACCCACGTGGGGAAAGTGTGTAGATGATTAGGTTTATTTACAGTGTTAATGATCATTATAGTGTAAAAGATCAAGTTTATAGTGTGAATGATCATTATAGTGTAAAAGATCAAGTTTATAGTGTGAATGATCATTATAGTGTAAAAGATCAAGTTTATAGTGTGAGTGATCATTATAGTGTAAAAGATCAAGTTTATAGTGTGAATGATCATTATAGTGTAAAAGATCAAGTTTATAGTGTGAATGATCATTATAGTGTAAAAGATCAAGTTTATAGTGTGAATGATCATTATAGTGTAAAAGATCAAGTTTATAGTGTGAATGATCATTATAGTGTAAAAGATCAAGTTTATAGTGTGAATGATCAAGTTTATAGTGTGAATGATCTTTATAGAGAAAAAGATCAAGTTTATAGTGTGAATGATCAAGTTTATAGTGTAAAAGATCAAGTTTATAATGTGGATGATCAAGTTTATAGTGTGAATGATCCAGTGTTAGTGTGTAAATGATCAAACATAGAGCGCATATAATCAACTGCAGGATGTAAATGATTACTGTTTGAGAAAATGATCCACTCAGTGAGTGAAACCAACAGACTCTAAATCCAGCCTGACTATTTTTTCACAGACCTAGTTATAATGTACATAATTCTATAACACATCTTCATCAGGATTATGTGGCCGATAGTAATCTTTCCTTTCACTGGGCTGACCATCATAAACAAGTTCTTCATACTCCTCCTTGTTTCCATGAGACCAGTGATTATCTCCCCTTGGTGAAGGTCGTGACTCTTCAGACATGGAATCCAGGTCTGGTACCATACTTTCAATGCGATGCCGAGATTCAATGTCTTCCTTTGAGATACTTCCGGTGTATGGAGATGGCAGGATGTCTGAGAGTGAATCTGTATGGGGGGAAAAATGACCAGTCAGAAAACATAAGAGTATTTGTCATAATGAGTCGCCCGTGTCGGTTCCGGGGCGCCATTGTGAGGAAAACAAGAACAGACCCACTGCCTCCCCAAAAGCATGTCGTTAGAGTTGACTAATTGGGGAGCTTCCTTTAAAGTCGGAGTGCATCTACCGGAGAGGCAAGGAACCAACAGTCTGTATTCAAGAGAAAGAGATATGTAAAACTGATGCACACGCAACACTCAGGTTCTGGAGCAGGACTGCAGTTCAGTAGTGGACGAGTAACCAGAACCTTCCGCCAGAGTGGACAGCTGGTGAACGCGAAGAAGAAGAAGAAAGTCATAATGAGCTGCTACATAAAAGTTAAAAAAGTTAGCTAGTTGGTGCATGCCTTGGATTCCCTGGGTCAGCCCATGACCAGAGTATCATGTGTCCGCTCCGCATTTTTTTAAAGGCCCCTTTGGATGGCAGGGAATGACCATAATCTACCCCCCGCCTTCCCTCGAGGGTCGACCAGTCTACACACGGTTGCCCCAGACAGGTTCTCCAGGAGCAACACCTGTAGATAAGGGGACAATGAGAACACCACATAAAAATACGCTATGATATATCCCATGAAACTTTCCGAGACGTTAACCGAGTCAATAAATGCTTGATAAAGTCAAATGTGTTGTTTAAAAGGTACACATATTGCAGATCTGCTGTAAACAGGCACAACGCAATTATGTCACTCAAATGACTAAAGTGAATGAAAGGAAGAAGAACCAACCTGGCATATATTTTTAAAAATATGGTCCCCGTATGGGTTCCGGGGCCCTATTTTAGGGAAAACAAGAATAGACCCACTGCCTGCCCAAAAGCATGTCGTAAGAGTCAACTAACTGGGAGCTTTCTTCGAAGTCGGAGTGCATCTGCCTGAGAGGCAAGGAACCAACAGTCTACACTCAAATGTGTCAGATCTGTCAAACAGATGCACACGCAACACTCAGGTTCTGGAACAAGACTGCAGTCCAGAAGTGGACGAACAACCAGAACTTCCCGCGAGTCTTTACAGCTGGTGAACGCAAAGAAAGGAAGAAGAAGAAAAACATGGTTAAGTACTGACCAGGTTCTTGTATATCTTGTTGTGGTAGGCCAAAAGATTTGGAGGCTCTGCCCTTTTTAGTTTTCCTGCTGTTAACAACAGCATCAACAGCTGGCTGGTCTGGGAACACTTCCTGGTCACTGGTGTCCATGTTTGTCTGTGATGTGGACATCAAAACTGTCTTTTCTTTCTTTGCTGTTGAGGCAAGAAATTGTGATGTTTATGATAGTGCTAAATACTGAATTTGCAACTAGTCTGAGCAAATGATAAAACTGAAGGAGCCGTGCTCATCACTGGATTCTATTCTGAGCACATGAAACTTGTTTCTCCTTCACTCTTTCCCTCTCTTATACACACAGACAACGTGAGACAGACATACAGACACTGACAGACAGACACTGAGAGGCAGACACAGGGGGTTTTATAGAGAGACAGAGATGGAGAGAGAGAGACACAGAGAGAGTGCAGAGAGAGAGGAACAGACAGAGATAGACATACCCACCCACACACATAGAAATACATAGAAAATAAGAGATTCGGTTAAAACACACATAAGAAGAGACACATTCAGAGAGAGAGAGAGAAAGAGAGAGAGAGAGAGAGAGAGAGAGAGAGAGAGAGCTGGTGAGAAAGCAGAGACAATGTTTGTAAAAATACAGACAAATCTAAAATGTACCAAATTTTAAAGATTTTAATTTAAAAGTAAAAAAAAATGATTGCAACCCTGCTCACTAAGAAGACCAACAATAACAGCTGAATGAATGATTTACCTTTCAGACCATCTACAAGTCTGGCTCCTTTACCGATCCGGTCACAGAACATAGCTATGTGTTTCTTGACCTTGGATGTGTCCTCTGGAAGGGTCAGGGGGCTGGGGTTGACTGGGCCTTCCTTCCCAGACTTGGCCAACACCGTCCGCAACAAGAGGGTCATTGCAGCATCCACTGATTCTTCCCAGCCCTAGACACCCATACAGGATGAAGAGCACAAAAAGTCAACAACCGGCACCAACAGGTGTTCGAATCTGTGTCGAGGTTGGCAATTATTTCCACCAACCACGTCAACCCAGTCAAATATTGGTACCAGGCAAGAAAGAGAGGTGGCTGGTGTGAAATTGACCTCACCACTGTATGAGTCCTGACTGGTCTTTAAATATATAGTAAGCACCATATACTATACACCCATATTCAGCTATATGGGTTCTAGAGTCCTATTGTGAGGAGGAGGGAAGAGCAGATCCACTGCCCCCTAATAAATATGTCACAGAAGCCGACAAATGAGGCAGATTTCTTTCAAAGTTGTAAACGTGCCTTACTGGCAAGAAGAAAAAAAAGACAGTATAAGAATAAGCCAGATTTGTAAAATGGATTTACATGCAAAACTCAATTTCTGGAACAAGACTTAATTCTTTCAGTACCAATGAACTCCCCATACGTTGACTAGTTATACTATATGTGCTACATATTTCATTACTTTCCTTATCCCATTCTTCTCTTAGGTTAACTCTTTATTTTACAGTTTTTATAACAGTTCTTGTGTAAAAGCTGAATATTTCAGCTCTGTCAGACCGAACAAACATTGCTTTAGGATTCAAAACTTTCACTGTAGACAGTGTTGAATTCAACACTATCTAGGACTGAAAGAGTGAATAATCCTCCCACAATAATCCTCCCTCATCTAGCTCTGTCGTCAAGCACCACTGGGAGGAATAATTAGTTACCAGAACTCGATGGATGACACTGTCTAATGTCGTTCCATCTGAACGAACGTCTTTAACCCTGTTGCAATGACGAAGTTGGTTTTCTAACAATTATAGGTTTCTGATGATATAATGTCACTGGGCAGTGGTCTGTAAAACAGCTCTGGAACTGTCTGCCCCTGTACAGTGTATAATGTGGTAGGTATGATTATATTTAGGAATTTTTGGTACTGGTCACTATAAGCGGACCAGGATTAGAGTAACTTCCCTTGCCATTCATGCCTTCTTATAATAGCTAGCAATACTGTTGTTAAGGATGTCAGCAGTGTTAAGCATATGACATCACCGTGCAGACAAACATGGTGATCTCATAATGACGCCCTACTTTTGACATGCACCCAAAAGAAGCAGTGTTGCTATCCGTTTTTAGATCAGTGAAGGGACAAAACATACAGAAATCTATGAGCGAATAAAGGTCCAGTATGATAATGCATGCTCTCACATTAATAAAACAAAAATAGCAATAGTATGTGTGCATGCTAGTGTATAGTAGAGTGCATTCAGATACTGACCTGGTCATCGCTGGAATTGACCACAGGGCTGAGTGTGGAGTTGAGGATCTTGACCTCCTCGTCTGTCATGTCTGCCCACAGTCGGAGAAGGAAGTTGAGTAAGTAAGTTCCACTGCTCAGGTTGTTGGCAGCCTTTTGCTGGGCAAACAAATTCTCATTCACTGCGTCTGCTAGGGCTAGGATCTGACCAGATTTAACAGAAAAACCAAACCAAAAAAATACCTTTACTTTTCTGAGATCTGAATGCTTCAACAACACGATTAAAAAATACTGTCATTTATTTGACAGCTTTAACAGACAAAATTACAAATACTGTCATTTATTTTACAGCTTCAACAGACATGATTGAAAATACTGTCATTTGTCTGACACTTCAACAGACAAGACTAAAAATATGGTCATTTATTTGACAGCTCTAATGGACAAGGTTAAAAATATTGTCACTCATCTGATGGGTTCAAGAAACAAGATTAAAAATATGGTCACTTATCTGACAGTTTCAACAGACAAGACTAAAAATACGGTCATTTATCTGATAGCTTCAACAGACAAGACTAAAAATATGGTCATTTATCTGACAGCATCAATAGAAAGTAAAGAAAAAATACTTCCACTTAACTGATCAGATTCAACAGACAAGACAAAAAAATGGTACACACCAGTACACATCTAAGACACAAAATATTGGAAGTAGTAGAATTATCAGTAACCTAGTGCACTTTATACCAAGTCCCCACAACAATTATTACTGCCATATGAACAAAGTTAATGTAAACACTTAACAGAAAATAGGATGCAAGGAGACATGGCCGCAGATGAAAGCAAAAAATGAACAGACTGACCTGAGTGTAGGTTCCCTCTAGCAGGGTGTCCAGGTTCAGCAGCGGAGCTGGAGTTTTGTCCTTGAACCTTGTCAACAGTCGTTTCTGGATGGTACGAAACTGAGAAGCTCTCTGGGCGAGTATCTCTTTACACCTCAGAGTGTTGGTGCGAAACTAGTGGTAAAAAAAAATCATTAAAATTACTCAGTGTGTCTGTAAATATGTATTCATTTGTCTCTTCATCCCTTTGCTTTTATCTGCATGGTCTGAATGTTAGTTTTATCTAATTAAAAAAATAAAGTTTGTTCTATTCCACTTTTTCTTCCTGTATAGTTTCCCCATAACCACACTGCACTAACAGACAGGCACTTGCTATCCATAAGTAAGAAGAAACTCCACAGGGGAGCATGTACAGCAGGAGTCTACCAATCATCAGTAGAAGTGATCCCTCGTCCGTAACTGTTTCGGCCCACGAGCTCCTAGACATTTTCAGAAGGTGGGCCCACCTGAGCTCATGAAGCTCAGGCTTGATCTGCTCCTGCTGCACGTATTACCGGATGTTCTCGGACAGGGACAAGACGAAATTGGTGACTGTGCAACAGGTACTGTGAGGTTCGAAGTTTATTTATAGTCGCTGCGGAAGCATATTAGAGTAGTCGGCATACCTGGACGACCAAGTGGCAAGCTTACGTTTGGTTTATCGGACACATGTTAGACTTTGTTGGCAGATGGCAGAGGAACACTGGCACACAATTTGGACACAAATGATTTTAAGGGATAAGACTTTCTTTTCCACTTTGATACCCGGACCAGCTCACCGAAGCCCATCCCTCACGACGTTCCGTTGTGTCCAGAGCCAGCTCGAGGCCCTCTCAGCGGCCTTGCCCAGTTGTTTTAGTGATCGTTTGCACTCGTTTCCTCGCTGTTTTATCACATTGTACATAGAAGTGGAAACGAGACCTCTTGCGCCTGCCTCGACGGCGAAGAATCTTACTGTGTACGCTTCGTCTCTCCTCAGACCAGCCGCGAGGTCACTATTTCTCGAGCTTATACATATGACTTTCATCCATTCGCGACTCATACGACACCGTCAGCTCGATCAGGATGAGCTGATGTTTCTCCGCAGAGTGTAGGACTATTATACCAACAGCATCAAGCTCAAAACCCAGGAGAAGGTGCACAGTATGTGCAGAATAAGATAAATGTAAAAACTCAGAAAATAAAAAGAGCCACAAAGGCACCATGAAACTCAATGGATGTAGGTATGTTATGTTGGTGTAGGTATACTAGGTACCACTTTGTAAATAATGGTGCTCTGAACAGTACCATACTAATGACAAAATTTGGCACTAAGCTTTGATAAATATTTTTAATCTATTTTGTTGTTGTTGTTGGCTGCACTGATAATGATTTGCATAACAATCTCTAAACTGATAAAACAATGTAACTGAATGTTTTACGAAAATGAAATTGTCTAAATTGCTGTAATTTAGAGAATAATCCTTTTTCAGCAATATACAGCCACAAGATGATGTAAAATGAGATTACAACATTTTAGTTCTTAAAATTTGTTATCCATAAAATTCAGCGCAAAAAATACTAAATTTTATGAGTTTATCTCAAATAGTTGTGAAGCTATGGTATTTTTAGTACACAGCAGAAATCATTGGTATCTGGTAAAGTGCAAGGATTGATGGGCGTGGTAGTCGGTGGGTAAAAACCCCCACTAGTATAAAATATCAAGTGTCACTTACATTAAAATGTGTGTCCACAAGCTCAAAGTATTCCTGCAGTGGTAGTGCACCATCGAAGGAGACCCTGAAGTCGCTGTTGGCACCCCGCTTGAAGTGACCGTTCAGACGTGCAACCAGTTCATGTAGCGGCAGCCACATACCCTCAAAACTGTCACTCTGCAGGCGATACCTCTCTAAAATAAATGAATGTCAAAATAATAGTTTGTTAGACAGAAATTCAGGATTACAAGTGTTAAACATAACATACTGATTAAGTCAAAAATAAAAAAAATTAAATAAAAGCAGATTATGCCACAACTAATTTTTCTTTTTCTTCTTCTGTGTTCGTTCTATAAAGGACTGTTGGCCTGTTGTGTGGTGGTTTACAGCAAGGCTGTGATTTCTGAACCTTTTGGCCAAACTCATCTGATTTCAGCAAATCCTTACTTAGTCAAAATGCCAGTTAACAAACATTGGGTCTATTCTTTTCCCCCCCTGAATGGGGAAACCAGAACCCACCATGAACAGGGAACCAGAACCCACACTGAACGGGGAACCGGAACCCACATGGGAACTTTAACCTCATTTAGTAGCAAGAGTCATTGTCGTGCATTTACTGGCAGCAACTTGAATTAGCTTTTAAGTTGTTACATAAGGCCAATAAATCACAGCTGCTTTTAAAAAAAAATTTGTTCTGTGTCGTATGCGACTGAGAAAATCTGGCAATGACTGTTCTAAATGCGAGAACGTGTAAACTATGATTTTCTGAGACTTAACAAAATAGTCATTTGTCCATCACAAGTGACAAAGTCCGCTCTTTCTTTCATCCCTCATGAAACTACAGCTGACAGTCTGTGAGTACACAGAGGTGACTTAGTCCAATACTGGCCCGGAAGGATCTAGAATAATGAGGGCAGGGAACAGTGTCTGTAGATAAAGGGCCTGTTACTGCGGTCTTTCTAGTCTGTCTTCATTGTTCAGCTGCTCTTTTCCTAGATGCCTGGCAAGTCGCTGCGCCTCTTTGGACAGATGCTCACCATATAGTCTGGTCTTGTGCAGTAGCCTTCCAAGTGTCAGGCTTTACAGTGAAGGGTGTGAGTGATACTTCACTCTTTAATCATTTAAGTGTTTAGAGGAATTAACTATTCATTGTATTCACAGCAGTTAATAAATTGTCCAAAAGACATTAACAGTTAATACAGTGTAATTTAATCAGTAAGTAAACTGTAATGAGTAACTAATCAATAATCTGTAAGTTTTAACATTTTCCATAATTTAACTTGGTCAGAAACACATGCAACCTTAGTTACATGCACATCTTTAGTCAGATGCTACCAACAAGCAGTCACCTCAGTAAGAAATACAATGCCCCTGTCATATTCACATGCTACCTCAGTAAGAAATACAATGCCCCTGTAATATTCACACGCTACCTCAGTAAGAAATACAATGCCCCTGTCATATTCACATGCTACCTCAGTAAGAAATACAATGCCCCTGTCACATTCACATGCTACCTCAGTAAGAAATACAATGTGTATGTCATATTCACATGCTACCTCAGTAAGAAATACAATGCCCCTGTCACATTCACATGCTACCTCAGTAAGAAATACAATGCCCCTGTCACATTCACATGCTACCTCAGTAAGAAATACAATGTCCCTGTTATATTCACATGCTACCTCAGTAAGAAATACAATGCCCCTGTCACATTCACATGCTACCTCAGTAAGAAATACAATGCCCCTGTCACATTCACATGCTACCTCAGTAAGAAATACAATGCCCCTGTCGCATTCACATGCTACCTCAGTAAGAAATACAATGTCCCTGTTATATTCACATGCTACCTCAGTAAGAAATACAATGCCCCTGTCACATTCACATGCTACCTCAGTAAGAAATACAATGCCCTTGTCACATTCACATGCTACCTCAGTAAGAAATACAATGCCCCCGTCACATTCACATGCTACCTCAGTAAGAAATACAATGCCCCTGTCACATTCACATGCTACCTCAGTAAGAAACGCAAGCCTCATTCCCCAGCAACAAACAAGATCAATAACTCACGAGATGAGACAATATCAGATGACAGTCGATAAGACAATATCAGATGACAGACAATATCAGATGACAGATAAGACAATATCAGATGACAGTAAGACAATATGACAGTAGAAGACAATATCAGATGACAGTAGATAAGACAATATCAGATGACAGATAAAGACAATATCAGACAATAAGACAATATCAGATGACAGTAGATAAGACAATATCAGATGACAGTCAGATAAGACAATATCAGATGACAGTTGATAAGACAATCAGATGACAGATAAGACAATATCAGATGACAGTAGATAAGACAATATCAGATGACAGTGACAGTCGATAAGACAATATCAGATGACAGTCGATAAGACAATATCAGATGACAGTAAGATCAAGACAATATCATAATGACAGATGACAGTCGATAAGACAATATCAGATGACAGTAGATAAGACAATATCAGATGACAGTCGATAAGACAATATCAGATGACAGTCGATAAGACAATATCAGATGACAGTCGATAAGACAATATCAGATGACAGTCGATAAGACAATATCAGATGACAGTCGATAAGACAATATCAGATGACAGTCGATAAGACAATATCAGATGACAGTCGATAAGACAATATCAGATGACAGTAGATAAGACAATATCAGATGACGATAAGACAATATCAGATGATAAGACAATATCAGATGACAGTTGATAAGACAATATCAGATGACAGTCGATAAGACAATATCAGATGACAGTTGATAAGACAATATCAGATGACAGTTGATAAGACAATATCAGATGACAGTAGATAAGACAATATCAGATGACAGTATAAGACAATATCAGATGACAGTAGATAAGACAATATCAGATGACAGTCAATAAGACAATATCAGATGACAGTCGATAAGACAATATCAGATGACAGTAGATAAGACAATATCAGATGACAGTAGATAAGACAATATCAGATGACAGTTGATAAGACAATATCAGATGACAGTCGATAAGACAATATCAGATGACAGTCGATAAGACAATATCAGATGACAGTCAATAAGACAGTCGATAAGACAATATCAGATGACAGTAGATAAGACAATATCAGATGACAGTCAAAAGACAATATCAGATGACAGTCGATAAGACAATATCAGATGACAGTCGATAAGACAATATCAGATGACAGTCGATAAGACAATATCAGATGACAGTAGATAAGACAATATCAGATGACAGTCGATAAGACAATATCAGATGACAGTAGATAAGACAATATCAGATGACAGTAGATAAGACAATATCAGATGACAGTAGATAAGACAATATCAGATGACAGTCGATAAGACAATATCAGATGACAGTCGATAAGACAATATCAGATGACAGTAGATAAGACAATATCAGATGACAGTCGATAAGACAATATCAGATGACAGTCGATAAGACAATATCAGATGACAGTCGATAAGACAATATCAGATGACAGTAGATAAGACAATATCAGATGACAGTTGATAAGACAATATCAGATGACAGTCGATAAGACAATATCAGATGACAGTCGATAAGACAATATCAGATGACAGTCGATAAGACAATATCAGATGACAGTTGACAAGACAATATCAGATGACAGTAGATAAGACAATATCAGATGACAGTCGATAAGACAGTATCAGATGACAGTCAATAAGACAATATCAGATGACAGTTGATAAGACAATATCAGATGACAGTAGATAAGACAATATCAGATGACAGATGACATATCAGATGACAGATAAGACAATATCAGATGACAGTAGATAAGACAATATCAGATGACAGTCGATAAGACAATATCAGATGACAGTCGATAAGACAATATCAGATGACAGATGAGATAAGACAATATCAGATGACAGATAAGACAATATCAGTGATAAGACAATATCAGATAAGACAATATCAGATGACAGTCGATAAGACAATATCAGATGACAGTCG